TTCTCTCTAATAGCTTAGCTAATATACCTATTGTGGTCCAGCAAAAACAAGAGGGTATAAATTAAACAATACAACACATGGAACACCATCTAATACATCAACAGTTACACAGAGCTGATACACCAAAAGTCTAACAACTATACATACACCAATAAATGTTGTAGTTAAAAATGTACTAAAATGTAATTGAGGCCGGCCTGTTTTTATTATTATGTTCTGTAATATTGATGTATGATTATGTTCTTCTGTGCGCCATGACAAGTATTGTTTTGTTCGTTTTATCTGCCCATGTCTGGTGTCATGGTCACGTTGACTGCTAGTCCATTTACCTAATGATTCTTATTAAACTCCACGACCGCAAAACTTGAGTGGGTTAGCAACCCCTGAGAAGAAGACGTGTTTTTCCCCATAGACGCTACACTTATGTTTCCCTCCCAGAGTCCCGCCTTTGTGAAGACAGTTATCGATCAGTTGTTATTCCACTCTCTCCTGGGAAGCTCAATCTTGAATTAGTCCGTGTAAATCAACTCAAGTAATTCGCCAGACCTTTGTCAACTGAGGGTCATCCTTGAATGAGAAACAGTCAGAGTTGTTTGTAATTATTGTCATGCGTGAGTAGCGATCACTGGCAACTCAGGGATATATATACCCAGGGATGAGGCAGGGAGAGCGTCCCCTGACGCCCCTCCAATGTTTCCCCAGGTATGTTTATGTGTAGCCATTCAGTTTGATTCAGTCAATTATAGTGAATATCAGTGTTCATCAGTGTTCATGCTTTACAGTTGAATTGTCATTCACCCAGTGTGAGAAGTAATATAACGTAAATATGTCTGTCGTCTAGACAAAAGAGTTGTTTGTGTTGTTATGCTTCCCAGTCCGTCCCCTGACGCCACTCCAATGTTTCCCCAGATACCATTGTGATTCTTGCATCGCTCAACAACTGCCCCGGATGTAGTAGATACCCAGCAGGGATCATATATGAAACAATGGCACCGATGCGGCCTGATTAATGTGCTCCACTGCCTCGTTGGGCCAGACCCCAGACTCGCTATGTGTCTGGCTACAACCGACCATAACAACGGTCGTGAACCCCAGTGTTCCACCTTGGGACCCTCCCTGGAAGTATATGTCCACAGAGAGTGTTGTAACATGTATGTTAGGGATAATTAGTTGGAAATAATTATCCCATGTTGGGTAGTGGACCCAGGTATCTGCTGATGTCATTATTAACGTGTATGTTGAGTAAGGTCTTGTAACTGTACTGAGAAGTACCACTTGGATGTTGAGTAAAGTAATCTACAATGAATGAACATGCTACCAAAAGAATGACCATGCTACCAAAGGAAGGACCATGTTACCAAAAGAATGTCCATGCTACCAAAAGAATAAGTGACAGAACCGAGTAAGAGTAAGAACTAAGATAAAAGAAGTAAGTAAGATGAGGGTGGTGTAGAAGAGGTGTTGTTGGGAAAACACCCGCCCTCACACTGGGAGTTTTTGTGATGTAGATGAATGTTTCTCGCCGTCATGTTAATTCAGTTTAACTTAGCCGATTTTTGTGAATATCAGTGTTCATGTTTTAACATAGTAATATTCTGTGCCAAATAAGTCGAGTAATGTAGATATCGTCTGTACCGTTACCAGACGTATGTTTTGTATAGTTGAAGTTAGACATTCACCCTCTCGTGATTTCTTCTCCACGCATCTCCAGACGCTGTTTGTGTGTTGGCAACACTAATGATGTTAGGGAGCCACCTATGGGCAAGATGGCTGTCGAAGGATGTCGTTAAGGTGGCGAGATTAGAATCCCACGACGAGATTCCTCGGGAGACACCACCTATGACTCTGCTAGTCTGTCATGTGTCAACGTCCTCTGGCGCTCCGAGCTAGCGAGCGAGCCTGTAAACAACTTTGCACCTTTGACTCACTTCTTGTGATTGTCGCCCATCCATTGATCTTGGCTATATGCATGGAGCTGTATTAATATCCATGTCTGGGGATGACTAGTAGAAATATAGTTATCGCAGGTTAAGTATTGAATCCATGAATGTTGGTGGTACCAGGGTTACTGTTATTCTTGGAGTTGAGTCCACCAAACCACTGAATACTCGTTAAAGTGTCACGTTAGTCATTCCGAAATAACATGTTGTTATAAAGACTATTTTAATTCGGGATAGTGTCAAGTGTGTCATAATACCCACTTGCAGTGACAATGAAATAATATAAGGATTTTTAAATGTTGTAACCAAGAATTGAAGATGTAATTTGTTACTTGTAAAAGTAAGACCTGAGGGTCCAGTATTATCTTACCGTGTATAATAATTACTGAATCTTATTTGTCAGAGGAATGATACGACAATTGTCTAATGAAGTAATAAGCACTTGGAGTTGTTTAATGATATAATAAGTACTTGAAGTGTTTCATGAATTAAGAGTAATTGCGGATCTGTTTTGTCAATGGTACAGTAAGACCTGAGGGTCCAGTCTTGTCTGAGTGAATTTAAATAACATCTTATTCACTCACTGTGTTAATAAATATAGAAATTGTAATCTACGAGTATCACCACTCTATTCCTTCTAAACATTTGTTCCCAGAAATTAATACTTACTCACGTACCTATACATCTACCACACTACCCAAAAGCTTTCCATGAGTTATGTTATAGTCTAATAAAAGTCTGGGTGGTGGCAGACTACCCTTGTAAGTATAATAAGGTTTTGTACTATGAATAAAATGGTTTCCCAAACTAATCCATGGTTGAGAAAATAATGAAACAGAGTATATTTCAGCAAGGTAAGAACATATGAACTCAGAAAATATAATATACATTATATGAAAAGACATGAAAGACTTGGAAACTATAGGCAGAGAAATATCAGAATTACTTATATAAGAATATAAGCAAGGATATAAGGTATATATAGATAAAAAATTGAATAATAATAATAACAGAATAGAATATCTGGATGGTAAAATATGAAGTAGAGAAACTCGGCCCATTACAAATGGTGGCAGGGGTGAGATATAAAGTAAAAGAAATCAGCCCGTCACAAATGGTGGCAGCAGTGGGATTATTTTCATTTGAGAACCAATTTGAAGGAAGTAAAGAAAAAAATCCTGTTACAAATAGTGGCAGCTTAGATGGAATATAAAGTAAAAGAACTCCGCCCGTCACAATATGATCGAGGTGTATGAATGGAAGTCATTGCTAAACAAATATGACATAACAAGGTACTCAAACAATTCAACCAGGAGCGAACTCGTAACAATGGTTTTAATTTAGACAAATTTAGATTTAGGCACGAGATACTAGGGTAGTGGATGAGTGGAAAGAGTAACCAAACATCATCATTAACTCAAATACGCTGGATAGCTGCAAACATAGGTTGGATGGATATACGAGAGATTGGAGTTGGGTGCAAATGGGAGTGCCCAGTATGGGCCAATAGGCCCGCTGAAGTTTACTCCACTCTTATGTTCCCAATATATTTCTTGCCCAAACCATTATCAAAGAGTGAACTCCTGATATATTTAAGTTTAATGTCAGGTTGAAAATAGCTGGCACATAAACTAAGAGGTGTGTGGGTGAGGATACGAATTAGATTTCGTTTGAAATCAATATACTGTAGATAAAGGTTAACCATTTTGTTGTCAACCCAGTGAAAGAAGTTTTTTTATGAAGCTGTCCTAAAGCTATTTTGGTGACAATGGATATGGACATGAAAGAAGGGTAAAGGGTTGTCCTTCTCTAATGCATACGTAAATTTGTTGTTGCCATATTTCGGATTAAGGGAGTTTAAAAATTATAATAGGACGTGGTCATGTGATCTGCATGGGTCATCGGCATAACTAATGCGGGTACTCATCCAACAAGAGTTTTTTCACGAAAATAAAATAAATTACCTGGCTAACCTGAGACCTAAAGAATCTTGATTATATTACAGATGAAATCTATATATTATCAATTTTTTTACGAGATTTCATCCAAGAGTTATAGAGTCATTTCTGGTGGGATGGGAAAGAGAAGGTGATGGACATCAGTAATCGTCCTATAATATTATTATTGTTGCAGCAGTGATAGGTTATCTAAACTTGAGTACTATACTCATGACCCTTATTGCAATATAAGAACTGATCTGGTCAGTCAAGAGAGTCAGTGGCTGCTACCCTAAACAGTTAACATGCTATAACAAACAAGACAACACTGTCATAAGTGTTATAATAGAAATATATATTTACAAGGTTGTAAGGAAAACTAAATGTGTATTGCAGTGCATTTATATTAACACGAGGTGAAATAATATTTTTTAATAGGTAGAAATGCAGTAAATATTTTGTTATTCTCTCTAATAGCTTAGCTAATACACCTATTGTGGTCCAGCAAAAACAAGAGGGTATAAATTAAACAATACAACACCTGGAACACCATCTAATACTTCACCTGTTACACAGAGCTGATACACCAAAAGTCTAACAACTATACATACACCAATAAATACCGGTACATAAAGTAATGCAACGGAAGTAAGTGATAGTATCAACAAATAACAGGCGTTTATCTTTATTAGTCAACATGCGGTACTACTGTTTGAGCAGGTGTCATTTACTTGAGTTATTATCTTACTCTTGCAGGAGTTGTAGTTCATCGTCCATTACTGCATCAGAAAGTGTTTATGTTTCAGCATAAGGATAAGATTCAGTAGTGTGCGGGATTGTCTAAACAATGGCAGGTTGTGGTAAGGCTTGAATAGGTGCAGGGACTTTAACAGGTTGTGAGCCTCTTGACAGGATGAAGAAGGAATATTGTAGAGTCCTCTGTCGGGTTAAAAAATGTGATCGTGGTTGTTGCAGCCTAAGTCTTCCACAGCAGCACTTCAGTCTTCTCCTTGGCCTCCAGATCTTCACCTCATACTTGGTATCTGATAATTCCCTACTTAACAGAATCATATACACCATCACTGCCTTTTCTACCTTTAGTACCGTACTGATGGCCGTTGCCCTAGTCGTCGCGATGGCCGTTGCCGTGGCCATGGCCGTTGCCGGTGCCGTGGTCTTTGCCGTTGCCGTGGCCATGGCCGTTGCCGTTGCCGTAGACATTGCCTTTGCCGTGGCCTGGATAGCCTTTATCACCCCGATCACCCTTATCACCTTTATATCCTTTGTCACCTTGACCCCCTTTATCACCTTTATTACCTTTATCACCTTTATCACCATCAACACCTTTATCTCCCTTACCACCTTTTTCACCTTTATCACCTTTATCACCTTTATCACCATTAACACCTTTATCACCTACACCACCTTTATCACCTACGCCACCTTTATCACCTTTAACACCTTTATCACCTACACCACCTTTATCACCTTTATCCCCTGGCATGCCTTTACCACCATTATCCCCTTTCATGCCTTTATCTCCCGTCATGCCTTTATCACCTGCAGGACCTGCAGGACCTGCAGTACCATTAGGACCTGCAGGGCCTACATCACCTACAGAACCTTTATCTCCTTTTAAACCTTTATCACCTGTAGGACCTGCAGCACCGGCGGGGCCTTCAGCACCTGCAGGACCCGTGGGACATGTAGGACCTGTATTACCTGTCATACCGTCATACCTTTAGCACATTGCAGGACCTGCAGGTCCTGTTTCACCTGGCATACCTTTAGAACCTGCAGGACCTGCAGGACCTGCAATACCATTAGGACCTACAGGACCTGTAGGACCTACTGAACCTGCAGGACCTGTATCACCTGCCTTACCTTTATCACCTACAGCACCTTTATCACCTACGGAGCCGGCAGAGCCTTTATCTATAGGAACACCTTTAGAACCAGGGGAACCAGCGGGACCTGTAGGACCTGGAGGACCTCCAGGACCTACAGGACCTGCAGGTCCTGCAACACCATCTGGGCCAGGTAAACCGGCAGGGCCACGATTGCCAGTAGGGCCACGATTGCCAGTAGGGCCATGAGAACCGGGAAGGCCAGGAGTTCAGTCATGACCTGGTTGGCCTGCAGGACCAGGTTTACCTGGCTGACCATTTTCACCTGGAGAACCAGGTGGACCTGCTGGACCTACGTTATCACCACCACCACCGCCACCGTCACCACCACCAACACTAGGCTTTCCTGCAAGTAAATCACAAGAAAGTTACTATCAAATAAACAAGAACTGAACAGATCCATATACAGTTTCGGCATCAACTGTCGCCCTACTCAGTGGAGTTACTATAAGGACTGGCTGAAAACGATTGTTTGGAAATAATATTTCGTCTGCCATTAGTGTGACTTTCCAGTCCTCAGCAGATCTTTATATAATAGAACAGGTATTAAAATTGATATCGCATTTTTAAAAATAATATACAGAAAACTTCACTTCCTTAAGTAATGTCCCCTCGTCAGCTTGCCACTGAAAGTTTCAGCTAGGGAGAGACACAGAGGAGGCTTTATATATCACACTATATCACACTAATTAAATAATGAAGCCTCCTTCTATATTCTTTGTGCTATATATTTAGGCAATATCTCTCCACTGTGTACACGTATGAGGTATTATCATGTTCCTGTAATACTCCCCTAAACATATCACAACACCTTCATAACTCATTCTACTCCCCCTCGCCTATGTAGTCTATCCCTATCCCTTCATTATTTTACAGTGCGATAGTCAATTCAGTCACCTTTCCTGTCCTTCATTAAACCTCCCATACTCTATATCTGTGGTTTTTTATAGCCAATTCGTAAATGTCGTATCATCATTTCTGAAAATATAAAACGGTGGGATAAAAACCTCTTCACACAGATTTGATACACATTTGTAGCTCATTAACAATTATTATTATTCCTTATGATTATATCATATGCATTCTTAGAGTATTGTAGGAATTCGTGGTATAATGTTGTCTAGCACTCAGGATGGATGGAAACTCTAAGGTGGTTTTCTTGTATAATATAAGTTATATGATAGGCAGTCTGGTGCTGGAGGTGCCGTGTGGTGAGGAGCTGCTCAGTAGAGACGTTCGGTGAGTAGCGTGTTGAAGGAGGTAGATGTGCAGGAGCTTCGTTAGAGAAGATGTTGCCTGTTGCTGGCCTCCTGGTTGAATGAATGCTGGACAGCGTGGAGCTTGCTGGAGTAGGTGTTGCGTGTTCAAGAAGAATGGCGAGAATGAATCTCAATGGAGAGACAGAGCTTATATACTCAGCAGCCGTGAGTCCTCTATGAGTCATGTTGGGAAAACCCGAGAAAGTCGCCGGTCTCTGGTTCCGTTGCTAAGATACGGTAACATCTGCTGTCGCCGCTCGCTTAGTTGCTAGGGAAGATGGTAGCAGCTGGTGACGCCGCTACGCAGTTGTAGGGGAGAAGTCCACTACAATACTCCCCCTCCCCTCCCGGCGCGGCGGGAGGCTGGATGTTGTCCGGGTTGTGTCCCACACATAACACATACCGGGCAGGTGTATGGACGACTCGACAGCTACGTGTAACAACTCCGTCTAGTGACACAAAACCTGTGGGAGAATTAGGATGGGAAAGAGGGTTTGGGATTAGAGGAGGTTGTACAAGCAATGGTTGTTGTGCTCCTGCTGCTGCAGGGGCTGCGTCAGGAGGAGGGTCCATGGCAGGAGCAGGTTCTATGATAGAAGGGAGGTCGATTACAGGTTCAGGTTCTATGACAGGAGGAGGGTCTATGACAGGAGCAGGTTGTACATGATGGTGCTCCTGGGCTGGGGAGTCGACGGGTAAGGCGGCCGGTTTGACTCGGTCTATGCTGACGGTGTCATGTCTGCCATTCCGGATAATTGTCAGGAACTTTGCTGAACGGGTAACCACCTGGAAGGGTCCATCGTAGGGTCGTTGTAATGGGTTGCGGTGAGCATCATGCCTGACGAAAACATACTCGGCTGTGAGTAGTGCAGGAGGGATGTGTTCAGGGCGCCGAGTAGGCTGGCGTGGAGCAGTAGCTCTGAATGCAGAAACTGCTTGTCGTAGCTTTTGGAGTAAGTCGTGACGAACAGCTGCAGTGGTTTGGTTGGGATCAGGAGGAAGTGAGAAATCCCCAGGTAGCCGAAGGGGCTCGCCTAGTGTCAGATCTGCTGGGCTACAGTCCATATCCTCCTTGTGTGACGCACGGATTCCGAGGAGCACTAAGGGAAGCGCATCAGTCCAGCTGTAAGGGTCGTGCTGTGCCTTGAGTGCGTCCTTCAGCTGCCGGTGAAAACGCTCTACCATGCCTTTGGCTTGAGGGTGGTATGCTGTAGTGCGTTGTCTAGACGTGCCGAGGAACTGTAGGAGGTGCTGCCAGAGTTGTGACTCAAACTGTACTCCTCGGTCAGTGATTACGGTTGCGGGGGGGCCAAAACGGGAAACCCAACCGGACATGAAGGCGCGGGCAGTAGTCTCTGCTGTAGCGTTGGGCATGGGAATTGCTTCTGTCCACCTGGTGAAACGGTCGATGCAGGTGAAGATGTAGGTACTACCGTAGGATGATGGTAGAGGTCCCACGATGTCGAGGTGTACTACTTGAAAACGTCCTTTGGGAATAGGGAAGGTTTGTAAGGGGGCCCGTATGTGACGATGTATTTTGGAGGACTGGCAGGCCAAGCACTGGGAAGCCCATTTCTTAGTATCAGACTTGATGCCGGGCCAGACGACACGTTGCGTGAGGAGGCGATGGGAGGCCCGCACACCTGGGTGGCTGAGACCATGGATGCGGTCGAAAACAGCGCGGCGGTGGACGTGAGGCACGAACGGTCTAGGCTGTCCACAGGATACGTCGCACCACAATTTTATCTTTGTGCCAGGAACAGGGAGTTCTTGGAGTATGAGGCCTGAGGGGGATGTCTTGTATGCTGCCAGGTCTTCGTCTTTCTCTTGAGCCGCGGCTAGCTGCCCATAATCAATGGGTGGAGATGAGGGAAGAATGGTGGATATACAACGAGAGAGGGCGTCGGCGATCTCGTTGTGGCTGCCTTTAATGTGTTGGACGTCGCTGGAGAACTCCGAGATGTAAGCCAAGTGGCGCAGGACACGAGGTGTATGTGACTGGGAAGCTGAAGCGAAGGCGTGGACGAGGGGCTTGTGATCAGTGAAGATGGTGAACTGACGGGCCTCGAGGAAGTGCTGGAAATGTTTGACAGCCAGGTATATGGCCAGGAGTTCTCGATCAAAACCGCTGTACTTGAGGTGTGGTGGTTGAAGCCGTTGTGAGAAGAAAGCAACGGGCATGAAAATTCCGTTGATCTCCTGCTGTAAGACGGCGCCCACTGCAGTAGAAGAAGCGTCTGTTGTGAGAGTGGTCCGGGCGTTAGGTGCGGGGTGGGCCAGGAGGGTGAGGCGTGTAATGTGCTGTTTGATAGTGGTGAATGCCGTAGTAGCCTCTTGAGTCCACATGAGAGACTTGTGAGACTTCTTTGGGCGTCCCTTGAGAAGGTCGTGTAGGGGGGCTAGGACGGTGGCAGCTTTGTCAATGAAGCGGTGGTAGTAGTTGACTAAACCCAGGAATTCTCGGAGTTTCTTCGCCGTTTCAGGTTTGGGGAACTCCCTAATCGCGGTTATCTTCTGTGGTAGGGGTTGTATGCCACTGGGCGAGACTCTGTGACCGAGGAAATCGATGGCCGAGGTTCCAAAGACGCACTTAGCAGGATGAACTTTCATGTTGTTGTTCTGCAGGCGTTGGAGAAGGAGTTGTAGGTGGTGGCGGTGCTCGGCAGGCGTCGAAGATGCGACGAGGATGTCGTCAATGTAGACGGTGACAAAATCGAGGTCGCGAAGCATATGGTCCATGAACCTCTGGAAAGTCTGTGCTTCATTGCGTAAGCCAAAACTCATGAAAGTGTACTCGAAGAGTCCAAACGGAGTGGTGATGGCTGTCTTCTGGGTATCTGCCGGTGCTACTGGGATCTGGTGGAAGGCACGCTCCAAGTCGATCTTCGAAAAGATAGTCTTGCCATGAAGTTTGTGGCGAAAGTCCTGGACATGCGGAATAGGGTACCTGTCAGGTTTGGTGACGAGATTCAGGGCTCTGTAGTCGCCACACACCCTCCACTCGCCGGGTGTTTGCTTAGGAACCATGTGAAGAGGCGATGCCCAGGGACTCCTTGAAGGGCGAATGATGCCGTCTTGCAGTAGTTTGTTGAATTCTACTTTGGCTGTGTTCAGGAGCTCAGGGCGCAGGCGGCGAGGGCGTGAAAAGACTGGTGGTCCTTTGGTTTCGATGTGGTGGAAAATTCCCGATGTAGGTGGTGGGGGTAGGGAGACTCGGGGAGAGAAAAGCTCCTTGAATTCGTCGAGCAGGGAGGAGAACTCGTTGGAAGGCGCAAGACAGGTGATAGTGTCGGTGTGTCTGGCACGAGAACCCTGGATCTTGCGTGCTGTAGGCTCATGGATGAGGCATAGATGACTTGGTTTGACGCCGAGCTTGTGGAAGGTGAGGAAGTCGAAACCAAGGATGGGTTGAGACACGTCTGCTATCACGAATAACCAACGCAGAGTCTTGGGCAGACCGAGGTCTAAGGCGAGGGTGCGTACGCCGTAGGAGGCGATGGAGGTACCGTTGGCAGCGAACAGGTCATACGAGGGTTGCTTTGACTTGTCTCGTAGTGAGGGAGGGATGAGGCTGACCGATGAACCTGTGTCGATGAGGAACTTCTTGCCGGAGGTGCGGTCGGTGACGCGCAGTAATGAGACGCCTGGAGGGACGGAGGCTGAGGCGTCTACCAGCCTCTGGTGTTGCCGTTTCCCGAATAGGTGCAATAGGGCTCACAGTTTCGAGCATTGCGGCCGAAAGTCTGGTGATAACAGCAGAGGGTAAATTTGTTGTGCTGGGGGTTGGCTGCTGTGTGTCGGAACTTGTAGGGCGTGGTGTGTGAGTCAAGAACTGGCGCAGCAGCGGGTATGGAGGAGCAGAACTGCTCAATGGTGTCCATCCTGCGGTTCAAAATTTGCAACAGGTCCTTGATGTCTTGTGAGGTATTGCTCGGCTGAGGGGTGTTGACCCGGCTTACAAGTTCGATGGTAGGTACTGGTGTGACCGTGGCGGCAAGGGGTGCAGCAGCGCACTCGTTAAAAATTCTATCTGCCGCGGTTGCATATAGTTCTGGTGTCGTAGAGTAATCTACTGCGGACAGGATGT